TCAGGGGCAGGACTACAAGCACGAGGAGGCGGAGTCAGGGGCAGGACTACAAGCACGAGGAGGCGGAGTCAGGGGCAGGACTACAAGCACGAGGAGGCGGAGTCAGGCGCGGGACAAAAAGCACGAGTAGGCGACAAGTGGGCAGATTCAGAGTGGAGGCTTAGCGATGATCTCAGATCAGTCAGCGCGGTTACATGGATCCCAATAACTGGCTCAGTCGGACTGAAATCCAATGATCCGTTTCATGTAAACACCTTTGACTACGTGCGGTGCGACTACGATCCGACTGACACCCCTGGATAACTCGGTCCGATCCAGTTGATAGTTCGACTACTGCAGCATGTAGCGGTGAATCGGATGAGGAACTGGACTTTGCGTCTTTGCGCGTCCTTGAGATCCCGACGGCGTCTTCTCTCCGTTATCAAATCAGCCAATAGCGCCATTCGCATTCGCTGTGCTCCTGTTAGCATCATGCACAGATAGTAGAGGGATGTAGCTTCACCTCGCTCTCTGCTCGCCATCTTTCTCCTAATGTTGATGTTGTTGTTGTTGTTGGTAGTGGTGAAGCGGTCAAGCGGAAATGGCTGCATCACAACTAGTTGTAATGAAAACAGCGCCACCTATCGTATCGGATATGACACGCTTTCGTAACACACTGAGTGTGTCTTTGTGTCCAGATATGAGGACGAGATCAACAAAAGGAACAACCTGGAGAACGACTTTGTGATCCTGAAGAAGGTCAGAACGCACACATGTATATACCCTCAAACATCATGACATACATGACCTCCAGAGGATCAACTCGTCAACATGTTAAGAACTCTGAGGCTTTGGAGGATATTAGCATGAGCCGCCCAATGGTAGCACGCCTTGTCTCAGTGAGTCCCCCTTTGCTTAGGACGTGGACTCAGCCTATCTGGTGAAGGCCGACCTGGAGGACAAAGTTGGAGCTCTGACCGACGAAATCAACTTCCTGCGTAACGTCTACGAGGAGGTAATTCGTCCCCTTGTGTCGCCCAGATGTGTGTGTCAGAAGCAACCTTTTTGTAATTCTCCCAATAGCAAAGTCATCCGTAGTGGATTTGGCCCGCGGGCCGCGAGTTTGACACCTGTGCTTTAAATAATAGATAATTAGATGCATTAGTTAATCCCTTATATGTGTATGCGTGTCTAAAACATACCAGGAGCTGCGTGAGCTGCACGCCGGCATCAAGGACACGTCGGTCGTGGTGCAGATGGATAACAGCCGCAGCCTCAACATGGAGAGCATCGTGGCCGAGGTCAAGGCGCAGTACGAGGAGGTCGCGGCCCGCAGCCGGGAGGAGGCCGAGGCCTGGTACAAGAGCAGGGTGAGCAGGGGGGAGTCATATTGTTACATGCTAATGCTGTTGTGTTGTGTATTGGTGTCTCATTAGTGGCTCATAAGCAGCGCTGCTGGTTCTTTCCTAAAACGATGTGGGTTTTATTTGTAAAACTTGAATCTGAAGTATCTTTATTTCATATTTCTGCAGTTCGACCAGATGTCGGTGCAGGCGAGTCAGTACGGAGACGAGCTCCGTGTGGTGAAGGCCGAGGTCGCGGAGGTCAACCGGCTGATCGGACGCCTGCAAAGCGAGATAGAGGCGGTCAAAGCTCAGGTGGGTCCATCAATTAGATCCTATAAGATCCTCATTCAAGATCATTTAAATCCCTTTATATCATTAAAAAATATTTAGAATATTTCTACAAATCTTAAAAAATCGTTCTAGATCATTTTAGATGGTATATTCAATATGCCCCTCCCCCACCCCCCTAGCGTGGCGGTCTGGAGAACCAGCTAACTGAGGCCGAGGAACGAGGAGAGCTGGCTGTGAAAGAAGCCAAAGCTCGGACCAGAGACCTGGAGGAAGCTCTGCAGAGAGCCAAGCAGGACATGGCCCGACAGCTCCGAGAGTACCAGGCGAGTATTACCTGAGTAGACAGGGCACACATGAGGTCATGTCCAGGTCTCCTTCAGGTGTAAGCTAAAGCTGCATTCTGTGTAGTGACCAGCAGGGGGCGACTCCTCTGCTCCCATAGACGTCTATGAGGAAATGACTCTACTTCTCTGTAGTGACCAGCAGGGGGCGACTCCTCTGCTCCCATAGACGTCTATGAGGAAATGACTCTACTTCTCTGTAGTGACCAGCAGGCGGCGACTCCTCTGCTCCCATAGACGTCTATGAGGAAATGACTCTACTTCTCTGTAGTGACCAGCAGGGGGCGACTCCTCTGCTCCCATAGACGTCTATGAGGAAATGACTCTACTTCTCTGTAGTGACCAGCAGGGGGCGACTCCTCTGCTCCCATAGACGTCTATGAGGAAATGACTCTACTTCTCTCTTGATTTATTCCCTCAGTAAACATTGTAAACATGAGTTTATGTCTCAGTCTCTAGTTTCAAGTCTTCTTCAGCATGATGTTCATATAGTAAAAGATGACCACCACCGCCTCGCCACACCACTATTAGTGCTACACATAACAGGTGGTCGTTACTCAGCCCACCCAACAATAGGTGTGTAGCAAGAAGAATGTAAAGCCTTTGCAACACATTTTCAGAGCAGACATGGAGCATGCTTTGCAAATTGCCTTGGCCGGGAAAACTAACCCGCGTGTTCAAGGCTGGAGCTAAACTAGAAGTGAACCCCTCATGCATTATAAAGCACGCGATCCATTTGGGCTTCATGCCAGCCATGCAGCTGACCAATAGCGAAGAATGAGAGGAGAGGTAGGGGGACTGAGGTGGACAGAGAATAAGAAGAGGAGGACAGAGGAGGACGGGGGATAAGAGAGAGGAAGAGAGGGGAGGACAGAGGAAAGAAGGACAGGTGAGATGACAAGAGAGGACATGTGAAAGGAGGGTAGTGGAGGTGAGACACATAAAACACCATCACCATGTCTCCGTCTCTTCTTCTCCTTCAGACTTGGACATCAGTCCATCCTGAACATCCAGAGTGTCTCCAGCTACAGTAAGAAACTCCCTCTGGTTGTCATGGGGACATACCTGGCTAGTTAGCAGTGTAGCTAGCTAGCTAGCGCCGCTCTAAACATCTGGCTGTGTTGATCTGAACGATAAGTCTCTTCTTCTCATTTTAATTTCTTTGATCTAGAATGGCAACATTCTTTATTCCAATTATTGACAAGTTCAAATGTCAACGTCATTATTTGCGTCCAGGTACTAAAAGCACCAACGGTAACCACGGCAACGGTGGCTCCCCCGTCCCGAAGCTGCTGATAAAGACGACGGAGACCAGAGACAGCTCCAGATACAGCTCTCACTGAGACCAGGACCCGGGCCGCTGTGGCGTCCTTCACGTAGAACCTCGTCATACTTTACAGTAAATGTCAGATACATTTATGCTAAATTTAGATTCATCTGACAAATCGTATGACAATACAGGAGAAACGATCAATTACTCTGATTAACCAGCAGTTATTGTGTGTAATCTCTATCTATCAGTAACATTTATGTATTAATCTTTAGCCAATGTTTGTTTTTACAGACCAAACAACAGTTGATTTATTAGTTAAAGTAAAAACCCTCTTCAGCATTAACGCCAGAGGAATACTAATCCACTGACAGATGATAGAAAGTTAAACTGTCAGTTTAAATATACTGAAATACTTCTGAAGTAACATCCAACTGTACCAGAGTATTTTTTACTGTGTGGTTTGAGTACTTTTACTGCAGTAACAGAGTACTCTACTCAAAATAGACACACATCAGGTATCCACCTGTGTGTGTGTGTGATTTAATTATTAGGTTCATTACTTTTATTTACTGTTGCATAACGATCCTCTAAATGCAGGAAATGAAGTAGAAACATTGTTTCTGATATAATTCAGCATAAAGAGGCGTTAATGTGCTTAAAGTCTCCGGTCTTTGAGTTAATAAAATGTACAACGATCAGAATGTAGAATGTAGTACTTCTTCCTCACATCAACATAAGAATCATATGTGAGTCAATAAAACAACATGGTTTAATGTCGTTAATCATAAATCCACAACACAGCAGGTTTCTTAGTGAGTGGGAAAACAAAAGGGGATATTTACATCTAGCGTGAAACACGTGACACTTAATAAACATGCTAACACCACCAGGACTTAATACACGGGAACATCCATCAGCACCGTCAAATAAAAGCCCGAACAATCGGAATCATTCAACCAGGCGGCTTTTCTCCGTCCACACGGGTTCTTCTTCACGCATTCAGTGAGTGACAGCCGACCAATCAGAGCGCTCCTCTCTCCCTCCCTCCTCCAATCAGTCTGCTGCTTATTAAATATGAAACGATTATTAGGCCCAGCTCGTAACTCCTCCCCATGAGATCCGGCTTTCTGATTGGACGATTCCACTTTAGCATCATTTGGAGTTCAAACCGACTGTTCCTATTATTTTGTCCACTTCTCCATGCATATCAGTGAGCGTGTCGAATAAAATCTGAATATTATAAGTTGTTGAATAAAGTCAGTGCTCATCGTGCTGACAGAGTGATCGTTGTGAGGCCACAACAACAACAACAACAGCAAAACAATAGTTCTTGTAAATGATCGGTACATTTCTCCCCTTCGGGATTAAACCACATTGAAACATTAGTAATAAATAAAACGTCGGCCGTAACCTGAAAACGGCTCATCTTCAACTTTTGATGGATGAAAACGTGTTTTAACCTAAACGTTAAATATTCATGCCATTTATTTATTTCTCATTAAAACAGAGGTGAAGGAAATAAACAGGAAGTAACCATCATTGCCTCATCCAAAAAATAGAGCATGAAATATATCCAGCGAATCGTAGATCCTGAGCCTCCCACAAAGGTTAAAGGTCACCGGCTCCTTCTCTGGGCACAGTGAGAACAACACGATTCCAGCAAGTCTTTGAACGCATCATAACTCAAAGGTTCACATTTGTAAAAAACAACCCAAAAGTGATTCATCTTCATACAAAGAACCGTAAAGTACTGCAACCTTCAGTGGAAAACACGTACAAAATGTACAGCAACGCTTTCTTTAAAAAATAGCAATCAAAGTGAATATTTATTATTTTCTCCGTTTAAATATCGAGTGTTTGTCTTGCATATTTCTACCTTCACCCACGCGTAAAAAGGATTAAATATAAATGCATCGTATACTTCTATGTGTTGTGTTACATGTACAAAAAACGGCTTCGGCGCGGCGTTTGATTGGCCGTTGAGGATTCATCGCTCCATCGGCTCCGTAATCACCAAATCGTGTAGAATCCATTTTTAGTGTAAACATCTTCAGAGGAAACGAGGCGC